GGCGCGCGGCCCGGAGCGGGCTGTGCCGGGGATCAGGCAGGCAGCGGCCGGAGCAGCTGAGCGTTGCAGAACATCTGCCCCGCGGACTGACGCGCCTCTGGCTCGGGCTCGGTTTCAAGCTTGCGTCCAAAGTGTCGCCTGACTCTCTCTTTTTTTCTTTTTTTTTCTCCCTTCCCCTTCTTACCTGTTTTCTCTCGTAGTGAATGAGGGCTAATCCGTTTCAAAAGCCACATCTTATCTCTGGCGGGCCTGTAAACGGTCCCCAGGTTTTACCGCAGCTGAAAACATCTTACAAATCTTAACTGAACTTGCATTTTTAACTTTATTTATAGCTTCCTTTTCATTTTCAAAAAGTGACCATAGTTTAGCTGTTCTCTCCTTCAGTTGCCATGCTCACAGTGGAAAAGTGTGGTTTGTTTTTTTTTTTTTTTCCCTGCTGAGGAACATTTAATTACAAACTAATAGTTTGTGAAAACGCAAAATAGCTTCGGCAGTTGGTAAACACTGGTGTAAGGAAAAGAAAATGGTCTGTTTGTATGCTGGTAAGGCAAAATGCAAAAGCTTGTGAACTGAACACTTAAGGAACACTTAAAATGAAGCTTTCCATTATTTTTGGCTCTACTTGAGGACAATAAACAGGAGTTACTGATAACATTTTTTGCAGTATCACATGCCAGCTACCCCGTTTAATATCTCATTAATGATCAATCTGGTGTTCAGTTTAGGAATACTGGGCAGTAAATAGTAAGATCTACCTAAACTGCTTTGCCAAGTTCCCCCTTAATTTCAGTAGTGGAATTACAGATAAATTTTTGTGAGTACTGCTATTTTGTTTTGCTTATAATTTTGTAAGGATTTATATTCAGCAGACCTTTATTCTGATATGTAGCTTTTTTTTTCCTAATAATCACTCAGCTCTCTTTAAACACAAAACATCCAGCTTTTTTCCCTTTGCTAATCTGTGTTTGTGGTAACTTTTCAATTTAGGTTTTGCAGGAAGTGCTTCTTGACAGCTATCAGAGAAAGTGGAACACATTGTCCTCTCTGCCGGGGGAGTGTGACTAAAAAGGAAAGATCATATCCCAAAAGGGCTCTAGATGTTGAAAACAATATGAAGAAAGCTTCTGGGGGCTGTAGATGCTGTGAAAAGCAGGTAGAGTAAACTTTATAAACAGATGAGTAAATCTTTCTTACTTTTGACCTGGTTCTGCACACGCTTACCATGTGCCATTCATGCCTTGTAATTAAAAGCCTATAGCAGTTTGCAGAACTTAGCTTTGTATGGGCTGTGCGTATACTAGGCATGCAGTGCCTAGTAGGTATCACTAACAGATATAAGCTGAAAGAGGATAGTGGATTATCTATAATAACATTTTACGTGGAGTGTCCCACTTTCCCCAAAACAACAAGAAAACTGAATATGGCTATAAAATTAGCAGAACAGAAATTAGATAACTGAAAATGAAATTTGGAGAATAGATGGAAAACCTCAGAAACTTTCACTATGGAAATGGAAGTTCTTAGGACTACTGTAAGATTTCATTTAAAAAACAGCAAATATATACTGATTACTCACTGTGTATGTGCAATCATATGTAATTTCCCTATGTCCTGCAAAACATCATTCTGCTTACTGACAGTTTGTAAAGAGATCACTATTTTCAGAGCATCGGGCAAAATCCCGATCCTCGCTGAAATCAACGATCATCTCTCTCTTGACATAAATGGATCCAAGATTTCAGCCACGCGATTTGTTTACAAAGCATCAAATCCAAGTAATCTTCATGTTAGTTTCATTTCACTTGGAACTGCGTTCAGCCAACACGGAGATTAGCCGTAGCAGAAAGCTGAGCTCCTTGCTTTGTTCAAATTGATTCATGAGGTTAAAAAAGCTGGGAGAAAGGAAAAATAACAAATTGGTACAGTGGAAGGAAGAACAAAACAGATCCCCAAAAGAGCTTGGATGCAGTTTGGGCACAAATGCAGGAGATGGGAGTTTTGTACAGCTTCTAACCCGTAGGCACTATCTGACGGTTCCATTGGACTTGAAGTTCTGATTTAGGATATGTCCAGCACAGCTGTGTTCTGACTGATCTGAGCAGCTCACTGTCTTATCTTGCATTTAAGCTGGGTAGACATCCTGAAGTTGGTGTTCATTCACCTCTTCCTCCCCGTACCCCAAAGGTAGGCATTCTCAGAACACACCTGAGGCAAAAAGCTTGAACTCAGCACAAACCAACAGCAGGCTAGAGAGGACTGAAGGAGCGGTGGTGCTTATCCCATCCTCCCAGCCCTGCTCCAGGCCCCTCTCCCCTGCCCGATTACTCATCGTGGAGCAGGAGATGCAGTTTCTGTGACTTTTCAGTCAAATGGAGTTTACTCACATTTTTCACTCTTGAGAGGGAACTCTCAGTTGCCTGGCTGTTTGGTGTTTGAGGAGTGGGAGTATTCTTCATTCTCACAGAGTGGTAGAAGCTCTGCAGAAAAAGGAATTGAAGATCCCTTGTTTGGGAAGGAAGTGTTCATCCTGAGAGGGAGGTGTCGGTTCTAATTTCTGCTGTGTGTGATGTCTAAACAATTCCTGCATGCATGGCTTTCTACTGGCAGAATTACTTCTTCCTTCCTATCCTTAGATTATTTAGTATAATTTCAATAATTTGACATTTCATTTACAGGTTAGATTTTCATGGATGAGACAGCATTATAAAACGTGTAAGAAGTATCAGGATGAATATGGTGTTTCTTCTATTATACCAAACTTACAGATTTCCCAAGATTCAACAGGGAACAGGTAATCAGGGTGTTTTATGTATAACAATGTATCTTCCTTTTTCTTTTCTTTTTTTTTCCTAAAAGGAAAGTATTTTATTTTCCAGGACACGCTTTCTTTTTGTAACATTTATTGTCCATATTCTTACGCTTCAAAAAATAACAGTTTTTCCAGATCTTTTTCCTCCCTCTTAGCCTACAGAAGAAAACTTTTCTGAATGGTGGTCTGAAATGTCTTCTTGGGGCACTTCTAAAGATTGCATAGTATTTCCAACTTCTTTTCTTGCCTTCACAGCATTTGAGCAGCTTACTTTGTGGCAAATTTCATTGTATTTAGCTCCAGGGAAATTCTCTTCTCCTCTTATCTTATCCCCTTCCCTCCCCTTTCCTACATCTGTTTTAGTGGGTATGCTATTGCAATACATTGCTGTGTAAGCTTTTGATTTCAGATTGAATTTACTTTGAACTGATCTTTTATGAAATGTATAAGGAACTCCAGTATGTTGTATACCATACAGTCAAATGCCGTTTACCCATTTATTTTCAGACAGTAAAGCTGAAGAACTGCATTTTTGATGCTGACCGATGTGTTTCTTGGTCTGCTTTTTGCTCATTTTTATGAAGACCTTTTTCCACATATAAATTTCATAAAACTTTATTATTGTGTAGCTTATGCTTTATTTATTATATGTTGTTATCTATTTTCTATTTTCAGCAGGCTGAACGTCTGTGTGTTTGGGTTTCAACCCATCAGTATGTTGAAATGGAAATTTAAGCAGTTATCAGAACTAGTTGCAGTGATGTTTACCTGAAGTGTCTGGATATTATAGCTACTATGTAGCTGTTATATAGCTACTCATTGAGCATGCCACAGTAGAATTCTTGTGCTTACAACATTACAGAACTATAATAAAATTTACTGTAACCAGATCTGTGGTAGTAAATATTCATACTCTTAGGATTATCAGCATACCTGAGCAGTTTCTAGCTTAGCTAGAAACTCATGTATGTCACGTATGGTCAAATTTACTTTCTAAAATGTTCCTGTCTGTCGCTTTTACTTTAGGAAATAGTAGACTCTCTAGAGAATGTAGAAAAATTTATCTTGTTGCAGTTAAAAGTTGTAAATGAGTTGTATAAATGCATGGCAGTTGATTATTACATTGTCCTAAATCAAAACACTTAGAAAATGCACATAATTCATAATGCTTTTTTGAGCTAGGTATCTATAATCTCCCTTATCGTTCTTGTTGACTAAGTATCCATTGTATTAGGTACCACTTTCTTATTAAATTGCATAGTATTTTACTAAGGGTAAAATATTTTGGTAACTAAATGCTAAGAAATACCTTGATACAAAAGAAAAGTTGAGCAGTGGAACAAGTTAAAATACGTGCCATTATAGAATTCATGGGACTCAATGGAGGGTTTTTCCTGTTACCATTAAACTCTATGACATCTTGATAGCAAAGTACAATAATATCAATTTTTTTTTCTTTATATAAAGTAGCAGGAGTGATACAATATCTGATAACGGAGAGAGGGCTAATAATCAGACACTTCAAGGAGATACAAGGTAGGCGGCTTATTTTTGCATAGTTACTACTCAAATAGACCCAGCAAATCATACTGTAAACTTCTATTAACTAAAAACAAAAGTTACTGCAAATTTTAATTAGAAACAAATGTAGAAGAAACAACATTTTTTTATCTGTTAGAATTTGGTTCCTCAATACCAAATTTAGTTCTTTCTCAGTTCAGACTGAAAGGTTTGGACTAAAGGTTACTACCAGTAAGTAAGAATGGGGTGCAGCTGCAATAAGAGCAAAAGAATTTTCTGAAGTTAAAAGAATGCATTCTCAAAAGAATATTTGTTGGCATACAAGTACTGAACTTTGCTTTAAAATTGCCCTTCGTAAGTAGCAGTAGAACTCCAGTAGTGGTACTATAATATCAAATGTCTTTTTTTTTTGATCATTATCAAAATAAGGGAAAATAAGACGCAATCATCTATTATCTGGTCAATTCTTCTAAAACTCTTTGCTGTTTAATCCTGTGTATTTCTGCTTTCAGTGGACATCCAACCTTCAAATGCCCCCTGTGTCAGGAAACCAATTTTACTAGACAGCGCTTGCTGGACCACTGTAATAATAGACATCTTTATCAGATAGTTCCTGTAGTAAGTACAGTTGCTTTTTTTTATGTATGCTTCTTAAACTACTTTCATTCTAATTATATGTAATGCAGGAGGAGTTTAAACTATATGCAGTAGCTAGTCTATAACTGTAAAGGTCACTGTGCTCTGAGAAAGACAATTACTTAATTCAGTATATTTAAATTGAGGAGTGACTTTCATTTGAAAATTCATAACTGCTAAGCTTCTTGTCGATTGTAAGGCAGTTCTGACATAGCTGCCTCTTTTATCTTGAGCTGAAACAAACTCAGTTTTTGAGCTTGACGTTTACTTTTCCCCTTCGATTAGTAATTCAGATGTCTGGTTCTAGACAATCTCATTTGGAATCAAAAGTATTGTTTTGCATGAAACCTATAGTTACTAAAAATCGAAAGATTGGAGGAGGAAAAACCTGGTTTTTATTTTCTTTTTTGCTTTGTTTTCATTTGTATCTTTTTTTTCTTTCTCCTTACAAAATTGCAGTGGTCAAATAAGCAGAGAGATCCATGCAAACACTGACTAGGGTGCAAAATCACTTTCTCTTCTAAATTTAGAACAACAAATCAGCAAAAAGAATGCTAGGCAGGTGTGGTAATCCACCACACCTAGTGGACATACTAATGCATATGGCACATTGAAGTGTGATTTTTGAATGTTACACACTTTACAAAAAGAGCACTTTATGGTTTTAAGTAAACATTTCTACCATGTTTCTATCGTGAATGAGTAATAGATTAGTCAAACATGTCTTTAATGCATTCTGTATTACAATTAACTTTTTTTTTTTAAATTCTCTCTCTTTCCCCTCACCTTCCAAATTTAGATCTGTCCTATTTGTGTATCTCTTCCTTGGGCAGATTCTACCCAGGTTACTAGAAATCTTGTTAGCCATCTAAATCTAAGACACCAGTTTGACTACGGAGAATTTGTGGTAAGCTTTTTCTTCTTTGATAGGTGGGGGAATAAATGGTAACTTTTTTCCTATAAATAAAAATGCCAAATAGATATTCAGGCCAAATTTCTTTCTAGCCTGGAAATGCTGACAACTCGGAAGTAGACCTGCATGTTCTTAAACTTTTTCCATTATCCACATTAAATCCTACTGACGGTAGGTGTTGTCGACAGTTAAAGCACACTCCAGAGTGATTAAGAACACTACAGTAAAGTCCTCAATCTGAACTATTTGTCCTTCTATCGCAGTTTATTGCTCCTGCTTCTGAGGGAAGTGTAATAGATTCTAATCTGCTCTATTAACACATTTTTGACCTTTTTTTGGAAAAATGATCAAATCATGGTTCTCAAGACTCAAAGTGCAGCTTGACTAGCTGCTATTGCTTCTCCACCTTCTATGTCCATGTGGTGGGAGAGGGACTGCAGTGTGATACAGGAAGAGGTTTGGCATTAATCGCTGTTTTGGTTGCTGCCTTTCAGGCCCACTTTGAGTAAATGACCCTGGAGTAGATGCAAACCCCCACATACGCAGATGCAGTCATTGGGTGGCTTGTAAGTCAAGGCAGCCGGCTAGTTCAGCATATTGGATCAGATAGCTGGAGAGTTTGTGCTGTAGTTTCTAGAGTATTTGACAGGATTCAAGGTACACTGTGGGAGCTTTATGGTGGACACACCTATCTGAAGCACAGGCAGCCTTGCAGATTAAGGAAAGCACAGAGGGTGTGCGTATGTCCAATACCCTGTGGCAAAAGAGCAAAGAGCTGAGATTAATGCAGGGGGTTTGACTCCTCAGCGTGAGTGCATCTTGCATGTTTGAGGATGTAGAACTGGTGACTGGAATTCTGATTGGGGAAGCTGCCAGGATCGCACTAAAAAGTTGTGTAACTCTGGCATATGAAGGTTTTGGAATATAGCTCTTCAAAAGTAACAAGGTTAACCACCCATCTTCTGTGATATGTGTTTCCTTTCTCATTTTAAGCAGTATATTCTCCACAATCTATGACTATTGTTGTCTGGGGATTGCATTTTGTTTTTATTGATAGAAGAGGTTATGGCTGCTTGGAAGCCCTGTTATAAGAATTGCAAGACACGTTCTGTTCTCCTGAGCTGACTATTCTGTAACATAATTGAGCCAGGCAGAGAAGATGGACCCTTCTGCTTAATGAGCCATGTCCCACTCATCTGATTCTTCTCCTATTTCCCGTGTCTCTTGTTACTTGGTTAAATAAAAGAAATTATTATAAATAGTAGTCCAATACATACATAAATGGAGAGTCTTCATCTAGGTACCATTTCCTATGTAAAAATGTGGAAAGTGAACATTTGAACTAAGGAATATGCTACATCTTGAGTATTTATCTGTTTTTAATGATGTTTTGTTTTGTTTAGAATCTTCAGCTTGATGAAGAAGCCCAGTACCAAAATGCAGTTCAAGAATCCTGTCATGTGAACTTTTAAAGTATAGATCCCCTTCAACTTACTGATTATCTGAGGGGAAAAACTACATGAATTCTGTTCATAATATGAAATGTATATTAATAAAAATGGAATTCAGTAAGTAGTTTTCAGGTTTAATTTTTCCACACTAATAAGGAATTTTCACAAACAATTTTGCTGAAACTCGATACTGATATTTTTACTGAGATCTGTCCCTGTGGAATTAGGGATCTTTTTGGAACTTACCACTTTTTTGTCTTGATTGTCTTTAACTTTTACTACTCTGTTAATTATATAATTTCTTTTTATTAATGACAGATGTTTTAATTCACCAATGTCAACTTTGAAAATAATATCTTTAGAAGAGGATACAAAGATACTCTGTTGCACTATTTCTTTTTTTTTTTTTAAGTTCAGTTTCCATCTGCTAAGATAGCTATGAGATGGTGATTTTTTTTTTTTCCCCTCCTCCCACCGGATGACAAAGGTTTGTTCTGATACCGTGATTTGTTTTTTACTGTGACTATGTAAATGAAAATAAATGGGGCCAACTTATAAAGTCAAAATATTTGTTTTCTATAGGTCAGTAGTGCAGAGTAGGTTTCTTCCACATGTCTTTAAGAAAGAATGATGCTATAGCCTATGAATAATTGCATCTATTTCTTTCTCCTTTTGGAGCTTAACTGAAGTAGGACAGTTGCGTGCTGAACGGGTGGATGAGAAATTTTCCCTGTGCTCCCAACTAATAAGGAAGAGAATTGTCCTGACACAGTCCTTTCTGAACAAGTCAAGGTGACGTGCAAATATAGAAAAGATGCGCTTTTTTTTGGTATGTGAATGTAGTCAGCTAGTTTATCATTTTATTGGAGCTTTCTTAAGAAATCCTGTTGCATAAGGAATTCAAGTCTTGGTTTTTTCCATTTTTCATGGAAGACTGTAACTAGAAAACTAGTTGGTTTAAGACCTACCAACACTCAGACATGGACTTGTTTGTTTTGGTAAGACTGTTTAAAACTTGGACATCTACTGCATCCAACGGCCTGGAAAAAGAGTTGAGAAGAAAAACTGGCCTTAGGATAGTTATCTGCATGTTTTGAGTTCCTATTCTAGATTTCCGCATTCTCAGCAAGACCCTGAGTAGAATCAGAAAAAATATACCATTTAATCAATTTTTAATTTAAAATGAAAAATCCATTTTAAAAGAGTCTTTGTTCCTTTCTCTAATACTAATGGGGAGAAGGGGAAAGAAAGCTGCACAGATTGCTTTTCAGTGAGTCTTTTTTCTGTATGTATGTGTGTCTGTGTGCAGGTGTGTACCTTTTCAGATTGGCTTTCATGGGGCCTGAAAGTTTTCCACCCATGGTAAAAGTAGATGGTTCCAAGGTAGATGGGTCCTTGCTTCTGGTGCAGAAGTGCAATCTGCTTTTTGCGGCCTGGCTCCTTTTTGCTCTCCAAACAGAAGTTTGGATTATTCTTTAAATATTAGAGTATTTCATATTCCAAAACTGGCAAGGTTGAACACATCATCCTGCATTATAATGGGTTTCAGAACTGAATCTTGGTTATAATATGTGGTGAATGTTGGAACTAAAACACTGTACACTGTAATATGAAATTTCTGTCCTCTATTTTTAAAAGTTAAAGAGAGAAAGTCAGTTTTTCAGAGATGTCTTGAGTTGTTATGAAAAGGATACAACTTTAACATGCACAATATTTTGTTATTGCCTAAGATAATATATTTTGGCAGCTGGCCACCCTTTGATTTTGTTGCACTCCTCCTTCCCTGTTTGCCCCCCATATTCTGGTCTGTGTCTTCTCACACGTTTGTCAGCTCTAGTTCTTGTGTGACCGCATACTGATCTGGAGTGGTTCATTGATCCGTGACAGCTGAAAAGTTTGTCTGAATTCCTTATTTTCTCTTTTCCCCTATAAAGCCAACTATGAAATAGTGCCCTTAGACAGAAAGGAATTTCAAGGTAACCTGATGGTCAAGTTTTAACTTTTTAAAATAAAAACACATACCATGGTAATCTTATTACTGTATACATTTCCTAAGGAATTTAATAGTTGTATGTAAGTTTAGTTAACTTTTTTAGATTCAATAAAATATTTATATGATGTGGCAATAAATGCCTACAGCCAATACAGATTTTGAACACCTGATTGACACTGGAAGTAGTTATTTCTGTTACTTGAACATATCTTGAGAATTGCAGATGAAATTACACCTGTTTTAAAACTCTGGGAAACAAATTTTTCTATAGCAATAATTAATTGTCATTTGATGCATAGTTGCTGAAATAGCATTTTAGTTGTGTTTAGATGTTGAGAGACTTGAATGCACATTTTAAAGAAACAAATGTGTATAAATGCAATAGAAAAAACCAAAACTTGGTATCTGAAAAATGTTTATCCTTTTTATTTGCATATATAATTTGCATCCAATCTGTATTGGCCGGCACTGCCTTGCTTAATATTTTATACTTCTAGTATGAAGCAATTGCATCCAGTACATTCACTAGGTAAGAGTTTAATGAAAATGAAACAATCTGATTAAATATGCTGCTGCTGTTCATGATCTGTCTCACTGAAGCTCAAATGTGCACAAAAGGCTGTGTATTTGTGATTGGGTGATGCTTGTACTCGAAACATGCAACTTTTACTGGAAGTTTGCTGTTGAACGATGTTTTCATGTTTCATTGTGTATGGTTTCAGTATGGTATATTATGTTTGAATTGTATCTTCTATTTTTTCTCCTATTAAAGTATTTTATTTTCTGTTTGTCTCTTTGTTGTATAATAAAGATGATCAGGCCCTCTGCTACTTCATCCTTTCCAGACGCTTCCTAAGCTTAAGTCTGTAGTCGCCTTTATGCCTTCACAATTTAAATGATTAGAGTGGCGTGTATGTTGCTGGAACTAATGAGGTACGACATTAGCTTATAATTCTCTCATAAGGATTATATCCTCATCCTATCTTGTATCATATCTTAAGATCATTGCCATGAAGCAAAAAGATAATAGGTTTGGGTAAAAAGTATTATTCCTGCTGCTTCTTTCCCTCCCCTGTTCGTATGCTGAAGTCCCATACGATATTAATGGAGAAATAACCTAAAAGGAGAGAGAAGGAGGTGTGTAACATTTAGGGCCAATAGCAAATTGCATTATTTAAAGGTAGATTCACTGAGAAAGGTTAATATTTTTATGAGGAATGGTAAAAATCAACAAAAGCTGGTAGGTTTGGGCTGGTGACATTTTTGGACCAGCATTCTAGCAGCTAGGTGATTTATTGTTCTGCCTCATACTTCTGAGCTGAAAAATCTTTGGTTATTTCTCTGAACTTGTACATCCTGTATCCTAAGGACATACACATTATAATGCAGTTTTGAAATTGAGTTATTGTCTTCATATTGTTGATGTCTTTATTTTGAACGACTGATGAAAATAATATTTACTTTTTGTTACTGTATTGTTCTTTCCTCTTAGGATGTAGTTTTCTGAGTTCTGTATAGATAATTGTGTATCCTAAACCTGGTTATAAGCCTGTTAGAGATTCCGTTTTATTTGGTTTCACTGTAACAAAGCATATTTTGTTAGAGTCAGAATGCACTCAAATAATGTGTTTAATTCTCATTGGCAACGCATTAATTGTAGGAAAAGTGCTCTGTGGAGCTTCTCTTTGTGCTACTCCAACAGCACCTAAGTTTGGACTTTGTTCACAGGGAGAGGGAGGGACTGTTGTGCAGCCAGGACATCTTCTGACAGGTTGTCCGGGCTAGAACGTATTCTGCATTTGGAAACCGTTCCTGGACCCCATTACTTAGATGTGGCTTTTGAGACCAGTGAGATCAGAGCACGCGCGTGAGCATCTGTTAGACTTCTGCTATAAAAGAGTATTTCTGGTTTATTTATTATATCCTTCTTTGTTTAATGCTGAAACAGACACATGAACTCATGGACGCTCTTAAGAGATACGTGCTTTGCCAAGACTTGCAGAAGCTGTGCAGTTTCTGAAAAAGCTGTAGAATGTAGCAGCCACACTTCTATTATTGCAGACAGGCAGGGCTACAAGAACAACTTGCAGAAGTGTCCTCAAAGTTTTGTTTTGTTTTATTTTTAAAGGATTTTAGAATTCAGAAATGGGCAAAGAAGAGACATGCATGTTGCAGTCTTTTCTCTGTGTAGCATGCCTTTACCCTTCTTCTAGATACCTCATTTCTCTGTTGTGTCTTGTTGCATGTTTCTTTGAAAATACATAGAAGACAAAATTCAGGGCCTTCACTTTGGGAAGGCTTTTCAAAAGTGTTTTAAAAAGTCACTTCCCAGTGAATGACCAGACTTATACTAGAGTTGGTGTGGATTTTTTTTTACCCCTTTTCTTTTTTCCCTCATGAATAAAGTAGTTCTGGGTCTGTACTGTTTCTTACTCTGCTTAAACCATAGGTGTGCTCTGGGAAAGGCCAGCCTTCACCTTCTCTTTTTTGAAATTGAAGCCCTAAACCAGCCTTATTCTATCTGTAACAATTTTCTCCGCACTTATATATCTCTATCTTTTTGGGCATGATCAACAGTAAGATCTAGAAAAGTGATTTTTTTTTTTTTATTTAACATCCCCTCCACACACACACACACACTCCTATAAGCTATTAGGAAAACAAAAGCAAAAAAAAAAAAAAAACAGTACTGAATGCATTCTGTGGAAAGCATCTAATTCAATTTTAAATCTTAGCCTGAAATGCTCTGTATACATTTAGGATACGTTCCTCAGTGCCATGAAGCCAAAAGTCATTTCCCATGGCTTAGTGACAGAATACTGTTTTTATGAATGTGCTTATGGTTATGAAGACACTTAGTCACTGATAAAACTGTTTCTCACTATTACTTTATTTTATGTTCTCTTTCTGGGTCTTAGTCTTTCCTTTCCTTTCTTTCCCTGTATGTCTTTCCCTGTAGCAACTCTCACCAGTTTCCTCATCTAAGTTTGCTTCCTACTGTCCCTCCTGTCTTCTAAAGTAATCAGCAATTAAATAACTAAGATTATATTATTTAGCAACTAAGTGTCCTCTCATATTCCTTATGTCTCATGAGGTCGTCTGGCTTTGCCCTCAATATCTTGGGGCTGATGTGGGCCTCCGGGCTAAACTAAGAAACTTAGCATCACTGACTTTCCGAGTTAGCATGCTAAGTTTACTTCTATGACTGGAGGAGATGATATTTCTCAGAATGTGTGTTTGCAGTTGTCAGATCTTAGATTCAAAGTTTCTGAATGCTAGAAGCGTTTGCTTTCTTTATTGTTATTTTTTGTGGGGGAGACTTTAAGATTATGTAAAAAACCAAAGTATCTCATGCAGACCAGCTATTCAAAGGTAATAGATGTTTTTCAGAAAAACCTTGCTTTAGATGTTCTGTTTTTGCAGGTGTGTGTTGTAAGTAAGTGGTGTGTGTCGTGTGTCCCTCCCCCCTCCAAGATAACTGTGGGCAGTAGTGTCTCATAAGATCCCACTTGTGTGTCACGTCAGCTGTGAGAGTGTTCAAACTTTAATAGTTTTCCATGAATTTTTTTAATTTCATAATTTAAGCCACAAGAGGGCACTGAGTATTTTTGGGTTGTCTCTACGTAAGTATAACAGTTAAAGATGCTAATTCACTAAGTAGTTGTGCTCCTAGACACTTCTAGATATTGGATGTCTTTATCCAAGTATTTCATATAATGTAATAAATCTTTTTTTTATGTTTTAGGCAGTAAGAGAGTTACTGGAATTATTCAAATCTACTGCAAGAATATTTTTGATTTACTTTAAAACCTCAAACTTATGGATTTACTGATGTGTTTTATTACCTGTGGCAAGTAAGTTGTACTCACTCAGCACTCTACCGGGAAATCACTGAGTGCCCTCAGGTTCACGAGTGAACATAAAATGTAGCATATTCATGCCAACTGAATGCATGCTTGCAAGTCTCTTCATTCCCCAAATGCATTCTTTAGAGGTCATCTTTAAAATTACGATGTTGTCATGCACAAAGGAGTCACAAGGGGGCATCTGAGGACTACTGCATTCTGTGATGCTGAGCCGTGGGGCTATTGCTGATCGTTTTGGCTCCTTGCTTGATGAACCTGCACACATGTCAGCGACCTAGCTAATTATGTGCGAGTTAAACCTTTCACAGCTGCTGGAGTGATGAGATCTGCCTGGTGCCAAATACAGGTACGCTTCAGTATCCCTTGCTATTACTTAGGTCTTATAAACGCTCCTCTGGCTGCACACGCAGTAGTTCGGGGCTGCTACAAGCCTCTGAAATAGAGATGGATTCTCCTAGCTAAGGCTCATGCTCCATTGTCACAGAGCGACCTACGTATCCCTGTAGTTGCATGATATTTAGTGGTTAACTGCAGCCACTTTAGGGCTGCACACCAGCCACAGTGTTTTTCACACTGTAATCTGATTAATGTTTACCATAAAATATGCTGGTGTAAAAACATGTCAGGCAGGTTCAGATTCCAATGGAAGAGGGAGAGATGTAATCCCGTTTTAGGTAATTATCTAATTTGTGAAAGACTATCACACAAAAGAGAAGATAATGATTAAAGCACATATCTGAAGTGACAGTAAGCAGTAAGGGATGAAATGCTGCACACCCCAACTCCTACTGGTTGCTTTTTAATGTTGCTTTTTAATTTCCTTGTAGTTAAGTAGCAGGAGGAAACTGAAGGTTTGTTGCATTTTCTTGAAAACCCCTCATGAAAGCATCATGTCATGTTTGCTGCTCTGCAAGAAGATGGAGTACTTGGTTACAATGTTCACTTTTTTACATTATGCTGCAAATGTTATTCCAGGTTTATAAGCCTTTGAGTTTCCTGATTTGAAATACTTAGGTGTCCAGCCTGAAACATTCTGGGTTTGACTGAGAGGTTCTCAGTCTTCCAGGTTTATCCGACAGCCTCTATCTAGACACCCTGTTGGTGCTGTTCCCTATTCAATTAAGGAGATACTACAGCCGTATTACACCATTTGGGAGATGAACTGAAAAAGTGAAACTAATTTGGATAAGATAACACAGGAGGTTTGAGACAGTGCAAGGAACAAACTGCTGAGAATAATACACAGACTATTTGAATATCCTCCCACTCTAACAGTTGGTCTATAAGCACTGCTAAGTGGGGTACATAATGCTCTGTAAGCCAGCTCTTTTCAAGGTTTTTAATTAATTCCTATCACTTGAAATTCTCCTCGAAGCTCATGATCAGCCAGGTCCCACCCAAATGTCAACAAGCAATCATGAATCACATTTGTTCACCAAGCAGAGCAACATACTGATTGCAAAATTATCAAAGCATCTGGGCTAAAATACTGAACAGCAACAAAACTAATCAGACAAATAGGAGGAATACAGACCAAACGTGCTACAAAATCCCTGTCAATATAGAGCCACTCTTAATTGTTCTATGGTTTGAGTTTGTATTTTGAAATTAAGTTTCCTTAGCTTTTAAAAACAACATTGGCAAGCAAAGCAGGAGCTGCATTACTATTTCCTCTATTATTTCTTCATTATCCCCAGACATGGCTTTACCAAGCAGACGAAAGCATATGCAGCTTTGCATCTGCACTGGGCAATGCATGATGTACATTCCTTATTCAGGATAAGAACTGCAGTATTATTACTCGTTGGGCTGCAGTAGTGCCTGCAGGTGCCAGCGTCAGCCTAGTGGGCCAGGTACTGTGCAGACCAGAGACAACGCCTGCCAAAGGGAAGGTGCAGTCTGCTCCCTGGTGTTGCCC